TTACTGCTTCTGTATCGGTTTCGAAATAGAACCAAAAAATTCAATGTAGAAAAAAATTTAATGCAAAATGAACCTATTCTCCAACCATGCCTTTTCGTACTCTTTTATGCGTACCGCGAACAATGCACGTGCCAGTGGACGAGCTGCTTCAGCGCGTGCATCCGTGCCTAAAATCTCTCGCAATCAGTTGAAAAAACACTGAATTCATTATCAACATTTGGTGAACGCTCCACAAAAATTTGCATAATTTTTCGATTATTCCAGTCTCACAACAAACAATCCATTTTATTAAAACAAAACAAACAAAAGTACTGGCTGAAGCTTTCGAAAATCGACTCAATGGAACTAAAAACTTTAAAATTAAGTGAACATGCGTCATACACATACCGTAGACAGCCAGTGTAGTTGCAACACCAACAGTAGCATTTGATACCAAATGATCATGCGCCGCAGCCCAATCCACTAGCGGATCGTAGACGAACGCATCCAAAATGGTCAGTAACACCTCTTTACCAGCACGTAACTTTGTTAGAACATGCTCACATGACAGACGGAATGTACCCTGAAAACAAAAATCGCATTGTTTCATTTTACAAAATTCATGAAACAATCGGAATAACAAAACGACTAATTTCTAAATTATGTAAGTTTCTCTGTTCGCCAATAAGTTATGTGTAAAATGAATTTATAACTGATCGGAGAACAGTGAAAATTTGCAATTATATAATAATCTCTCACTTCAAACCGATTCTACAATTATGTAAAAATTCTTTGCAGAACAATGAAAATACAACACACTGAAAGTAAATGACAACAAAACTGATAAACATACCTCTATTTGAGTTGGTCCTAGTGCATGCACCATATTTCCGGTTAATCGGAATGGTACCGTTTCAGGAACACGTAAATTTCGACCCTAAAAGAGGATTATCATAATCTCAATAACTACAAATCTCTCACTTTAAACCAATTCTGCATACGTAATGAAAAAACTCCAACAACTGATCACTCGAAACACTATTTCCACACTGCAAATCTACCTTATCAAAGCAGATATTATAGTCGATGTGCACGATAT